AGGCTGGGCAGAGGCCGAGGCTGAAGGACAGACTGAGGCCTGAGGCTGAAGCAGGCTGCGGCTGAGGCTGATGCGGGCTGAGGCTGAGGCTGAGGCAAGGCCGAGGCTGAGGCAAGGCCCTGGTTCTGAGGCTGAGGCTGAGGCAGGCTCAGGCTGAGGCAGGCTGAGGCTGAGGCCGAGGCTGCAGGCAGACTGAGGCTGAGGCTGAAGGAGGCTGAGGCTGAGGCTGAGGCAGGCTGAGGCTGAGGCTGTGATGCTGAGGCAGGCTGAGGCTGAGGCTGAGGCTGATGCAGGCTGAGGCTGAGGCAGGCTGAGGCCGAGGCCAAGGCCGACGGCAGACTGAGGCTGACGCTGAAGCAGGCTGAGGCTGAGGCAGAGGCAGGCTGAGGTGAGGCAGGCTGATGCTGAGGCAGGCTGAGGCTGAGGCTGAGGCTGATGTAGGGTGAGGCTGAGGCAGGCTGAGGCTAAGGCCGAGGCTGAAGGCAGACTGATGCTGAGGCTGAAGCAGGCTGGGGCTGAGGCTGAGGCAGGCTGAGGCTGAGGCAGGCTGAGGCTGAGGCAGGCTGAGGCTGAGGCTGAGGCTGAGGCTGAGGCTGAGGCTGTGACTGCGACTGCCGTTGCCACTGCGACTGCCATCGCGAATGCGACTACGACTGCGAGAACAGCAGAATTCTACAACTGGATTCTCATCTGAATCTTAAGGGGATGCTTCCAGATATGCTCCTACACATCGCTGTTAGGTTGCTTTGCCGGGATAATTTTACCAAACAGCGAAGACTGATAGGTTTCTAGTGGGGTCCAAAGAAAGCATCCTGATTCCCCAAGGGAGTCTGGGCAGGATCCGGGGGATGCTGGGGAAAACCGGGGACTCTCCATTTTCACTGCCAGGAGCTACATGTTGACTGCCCGGAGCCAACAGAACACCACTCCCAGGCCACGTTTTGAATGCCCAGAGCCAACTGTAGGCCACTTCGTGTTCTTCGTGCTCCCAGAACAGCATTCCCAGGCCACATTTTGAATGCCCGGAGCCAACTGTAGCCCATTTCGTGTTCTTCGTCTTCCCAGAACACCATTCCCAGGCCACATTTTGAATGCCCGGAGCCAACTGTAGACCACTTCGCGTTCTTCGTGTTCCCAGAACACCATTCAATCCAAGGACACATTTTGAATGCCCGGAGCCAACTGTAGGCCGCTTCGTGTTCTTCGTGTTCCCAGAACACCATTCCTGTACCATATTTTGATTGCCCAGAGCCAACAGTGGGCCACTTCGTGATCTTCGTGTTCCCAGAACACCAGTCCTGTGCCATATTTTGAATGCCCGAGCTGAGGCAGACTGAGGCCGAGGCAGGCTGAGGCCGAGGCAGGCTGAGGCTGAGGCTGAGGCACGCCGAGGCAGGCTGAGGCTGAGGCTGAGGCAGGCTGAGGCTGAGGCAGGCTGAGTGAGGCTGAGCTGACGCAGGCTGGGAAGAGGCAGGCCGAAGAGGTGAGGCTGAGGCAGGCTGAGGCTGAGGCAGGCTGAGCTAGGGCTGAGGCAGGCTGAGGCAGGCTGAGGGCGACCCGGCAGGCTGAGGCTGAGGATTGAGGCAAGCCGAGGCAGGCTGAGGCTTGAGGCTGAGGCTGATGCATGTGGGCAAGGTTGAGGCTGAGACAGGCTGAGGCTGAGTGAGGCAGGCTGAGCTGAGGAAGGCTCGAGGCGAAGGGCCGAGGCAGGGCTCAGGCCGAGGACAGGCTGAGGATGAGACTGAGGCTGAGGCTGAGGATGAGGCCGGGCGCAGGCCGAAGCTGAGAGAAGGTGAAGGCTTGTAATGGGGGGGGGGGGGGGAAGGGGGGGGGGGAGGAGGGGAGGTGAGGAGGCAGGGCTGAGGCCGAGGCTGAGGCAGGCTGAGGCTGAGGCCGAGGCTGAAGGCAGACTGAGGCTGAGGCTGAAGCAGGCTGAGGCTGAGGCTGAGGCAGGCTGAGGCTGAGGCAGGCTGAGGCTGAGGCTGACGCAAGCTGAGGCCGAGGCAGGCTGAGGCTGAGGCTGAGGCAGGCTGAGGCTGAGGCCGAGGCAGGCTGAGGCTGAGGCTGAGGCAAGCCGAGGCAGGCTGAGGCTGAGGCTGAGACTGAGGCAGGTTGAGGCATCCGTAGGCATCCATAGGAATCCTTTGGAATCCCTAGGAATCCTTAGGAATTCGTAGGCATCCTTAGGAATCCGTAGGCATAGTTAAGCATCCTCAGGAATCCTTAGGATTCCTCAGGAATCCTTAGGAATCCCTCGGAATCAGGATTCCTAAGGATTCCTAAGGATTCCTATGGATTCCTAAGGATGCCTAAGGATGCCTTAGGAATCCCTAGGAATCCTCAGGATTCCATTGGATCCTAAGGCCGTTGCCGCTGCGACTGTCATTGCGAATGCGACTGCGACTGCGAGAACAGCAGAATTCTACAACTGGATTCTCACATGAATCTTAGGGGGATGCTTCCAGATATGCTTATACACATCGCTGTTAGGTTGCTTTGCCGGGATATTTTTTAACCTGACAGCGAAGACTGTTAGGTTTCTAGTGGGGTCAAAAGAAAGCATCCTGATTCCCCAAGGAAGTCTGGGCAGGATCCGGGGGATGCTGGGGAAAACCGGGGACTCTGCATTTTCACTGCCAGGAGCTACATTTTGACTGCCCGGAGCCAGCAGAACACCACTCCCAGGCCACATTTTGAATGCCCGGAGCCAACTGTAGGCCACTTTGTGTTCTTCGTGCTCCCAGAACACAGATTCCCAGGCCACATTTTGAATGCCCGGAGCCAACTGTAGCCCATTTCGTGTTCTTCGTCTTCCCAAAACACCATTCCCAGGCCACATTTTGAATGCCTGGAACCAACTGTAGACCACTTCGTGTTCTTCGTGTTCCCAAAAACATTACTCCCAGGTCACATTTTGAATGTCCTGAGCCAACTGTAGGCCACTTCGTGTTCTTCGTGTTCCCAGAGCACCACTCCTGTACCATATTTTGATTGCCCGGAGCCAACTGTAGGCCACTTCGTGATCTTCGTGCTCCCAAAACACAAGTCCTGTGCCATATTTTGAATGCCCGAGCTGAGGCAGGCTGAGGCCGAGGCAGGCTGAGGCCGAGGCCGAGGCAGGCTGAGGCTGAGGCACGCCGAGGCAGACTGAGGCTGAGGCTGAGGCAGGCTGAGGCTGAGGCAGGCTGAGGCTGAGGCTGACGCAGGCTGAGGCCGAGGCAGGCTGAGGCTGAGGCTGAGGCAGGCTGAGGTTGAGGCAGGCTGAGGCTGAGGCCGAGGCTGAAGGCAGACTGAGGCTGAGGCTGAAGCAGGCTGAGGCTGAGGCAGAGGCAGGCTGAGGCTGAGGCAGGCTGATGCTGAGGCAGGCTGAGGCTGAGGCTGAGGCTGATGCAGGCTGAGGCTGAGACAGGCTGAGGCTGAGGCTGAGGCAGGCTGAGGCAGGCTGAGGCTGAGGCAGGCTGAGGCTGAGGCCGAGGCAGGCTCAGGCCGAGACAGGCTGAGGCTGAGACTGAGGCTGAGGCTGAGGATGAGGCCGAGGCAGGCCGAAGCTGAGACAAGGTGAGGCTGAATGGGGGGAGGGAAGGGGGGGGGGAGGAGGGGAGGCTGAGGCAGGCTGAGGCCGAGGCAGGCTGAGGCCGAGGCAGGCTGAGGCTGAGGCTGAGGCAGGCTGAGGCTGAGGCAGGCTGAGGCTGAGGCTGAGGTTGATGCAGGCTGAGGCTGAGGCAGGCTGAGGCTGAGGCCGAGGCTGAAGGCAGACTGAGGCTGAGGCTGAAGCAGGCTGAGGCTGAGGCTGAGGCAGGCTGAGGCTGAGGCTGAGGCCGAGGCAGGCTGAGGCTGAGGCTGAGGCAAGCCGAGGCAGGCTGAGGCTGAGGCTGAAACTGAGGCAGGTTGAGGCATCCGTAGGAATCCATAGGAATCCTTAGGAATCCCTAGGAATCCTTAGGAATCCGTAGGCATCCTTAGGAATCCGTAGGCATAGTTAAGCATCCTCAGGAATCCTTAGGGATCCCAAGGAATCCCTAGGAATCAGGATTCCTAAGGTTTCCTAAGGATTCCTATGGATTCCTAGGAATCCTTCGTATTCATTGTCCTAAGGCCTTGCCACTGCGACTGTCATTGCGAATGCGACTGCGACTGCGAGAACAGCGTCATCCTACCACTGGATTCTCACCTGAATTCTTAAGGGGACATGCTCCAGATCTGCTTATACACGTCGCTGTTAGGTTGGCTTTGCCGGGAATTCTCCCGCCCTCCCCACCCCCTCGGGCCCCGGGATCTCCGCGACGGGCGCGCGCAGCGAGAGCGTTCAAAACGATTTGGATATTCGCGCGGCGCGAAGCGCAAATTTGGTAGCTGTTCTGACGAGTGGACCTGATTGAGTTTTGAAGAATTTCACAAGAACGCTTGACCCCCATGGCGGCGCCCTCCGGGCTCCAGGGGCGGCGCCGGAGCCCGCCATGAGGCCCAGCGCCGATCCGAGAAAACCGCGCGGACCTCCGAGTTTTTATGTTTATGTCACTTTTTGTTCCCCTAGAGATAACTGCAGCTCAAAATCGATCCCCACTCCTTCTGGGGTCCACACGCACCAGCTGTCCAAGCTGCGTCGGGGCCGTGGCGACGAGGGCCCCCCCCTCGAAGGCCCACTGGGCCCTCCTCTGGTGCACACCAAAAAATCCTCCGCCGAAGTTCTTCGCTCCCGCATCGGCCACGCGACGCGGTCAGGGGAACAAAAGTGGCATAAACATAGAAACTCGGAGGTCCGCGCGGATTTCTCGGATCGGCGCTGGGGCCCCCCGGCGGCGCCTCTGGCGCCGCCCCTGGCGCGCTCCGCGCGCCAGGGAGGGGGGTCCCAGCGCCGATCCGGGAAATCCGCGCGGACCTCCGAGCTCTCCTGTTTGTGTCACTCTTTGTTCCCCTAGCGGTGTGCGCATCGAGCCCCTCCGAGGGACGACGAGTGCCGCCGGCCGACGGCGGCGACGATGGGCAACCGAGACGGGCACCCTCGCAGGGCCTCTTGCGTGCGCCTGGTGCGGAGAGCACCTCAACCTGCAGCTCCTCGCTGGCGAGGGAGCGGTAGACCTGGCGGCCAGGCGTCGGCCAGGGTTGAGACCATCGGGCCAGACGACGACAGCACGTCGGGGCAGTCCTTTTCTCCGACGAGGCTTTGCCTCGGGGCTTCGCACTTGTTTCTGAAGAGCTGGTGGATGCCAAGCCTGGCGGGCCAGTGTTCTCCGGGTCTGCTTGGTCTTGTTGCATTACAGTGGCGTTCCTCGGGGTTGCTTAGATTTGCTGCTTCACTGCCATCCCAGGGGTTGCTACTGTGGCATTCCCCGGGGTTGCTTGGTCTTGTTCCCTTACTGCATACCATGGGGTTGTCTGGTCTTGTTTCCTTACTGCCTGCCTCGGCGTTGCTTGCTCTTGCTTCCTTACTGCCAAACAACGCAAAGCAACGCCAAACATCGCCAAGCGACGCCAACAACTACAAAGACACGCAAACCAATGCCAACCAATGCGGCATTGCTTGGCATTGGTCCAATGCCAAGCAACTCCTAGCAGTGCAAGTTAAAGCCGAACAACGCAAAGCAAGGCGATGCAGCGCCAAGCAACGCAAAGCAACGCCACGTAACCCCAAGCAATGACAAGCTACGCCAAGCAGCACCAAGCAACGCCAAGCAATGCCAAGTAATCCCAGGCAATGCCAAGCAATGAAAAACAACGCCAAGCAACGCCAATGATTTGAAAGCAACGCAAAACTATGCCAACCATGCCAAGCAATTCCAAGCAACCAATGTCAAGCAACGCCGAATAATGCCAAGGAGCGCAACGCAGCGCCAAGCAATGCAATGCAACTCCAAGCAACGCGAATAATTCAAAGCAGCGCAAATCAATGCCAACCATGCCAAGCAACTCCAAGCAACCAATGTCAAACAACGTCGAACAACACCACGCAACGCAACGCAGCGCCAAACAATGAAACACAACGCCAAGCAACGCGAAGCAACGTAAAACAATGCCAAGCAACGCAAAACAATGCCAGGCAATGCCAAGCAACGATTCGAAGCAATACCCAGCAACGCCAAGCAGAGCAAAACACTGCAAAACAGTGCATGAACCTGGCGAGACCCCGAATAAGGGAACGCTGCCCAATCCACATTGCTTGGAATTGCTTGGCATTGATCGGCATCGCTTGGCATTGCAGCAACTTGCATTGCTTTTCATTGTTTGGTGTTGCTTGGCATTGCTTGGCATTGCTCGGCATTGCCCATCTTTGCTTGGCATGTTGTTGGCGTTGCCTTGCATGCCGTTGCTTGGCGTTACTTGGCGTTACCCAGCACTGAGTACTGCTTGGCATTGCTTGGCGTTGCGTGGCGTCGCCTGGCGTTGCCTTGCATTGCTTGGCATTGACTGGGACTGCTTGGGACGGCTTGGCATTGCTTGCCACGGCTTAGCATTGCGTGGCCTCGTTTGTCGTTCCTTGGCACTGCTTGCCCGAGTAATGCCACGGTAAAGAAACAGGACCAAGCAACCCCGAGGGACGCCACCGCAGAGAAACCAAACGAAGCTACCCAAAGGAATGCCACTGTGAAGAAATAAGACCACGCAGCCCCGATGAATGCCACTGTAAAGAAACAACACCAAGCAACCCCGAGGGACGCCACTGTAAGTAAACAAAACGAAGCAACACCCAAGATCACCGATCGGCCAGGTCTGGTTCTCACCAGTTCTTCAAAACAAATAAGGTTCCCTGAGGCAGCGATTCGCAAGCAAGAACCACTTAGTAAAAACCCACCTGGGGGAAAACAGCGATTTGCTCAGCGTTGCTTTGCGTTGCTGACAGCTGCCTTGATCTTCTGTGGAAGACAGAAACCCCCAAGTTTGGGGCGCGCTGGGTACATTGCTCAACAGAAAACTTCTTCGATGGATAACTCGAGGTGGCCAAGCAAGCGGCACTGAGACACGTCCGAAGAGGTGCAGTGTGTACCGTTCGGCGCCCTCCGCGCGCGGACGTATGAACGCCTTCTGATCCGTTCAGCGCGCTTCGCGCGCGCGGAGCTGGAACCCCTGTTTGCGCTTTCGCGCGCTTCGCGCGCGGCGGCGCGCGCACTGAGCACCGTTTAGCACGCTCCGCGCGCCGAAGCTGGAACTGCTGCAGAGTGGTCTTGACTACCTACCAAACCACCCCAACCCAACCCGAAGATCCGAATTTCGGGTTGGGGGGGGTATGGGCTCCATGTGTGTTTTTTCGATGTTCCCGGGCCCCCCCCACTGGAAATGGAGGGCAAATTGAGGCCTTCGGGTTGGGTTGGGGTGGTTTGGTGGGTGGTGAGGTCTGCGCGCCTCGCGCGCGGGGGTGCGAAAGCCGTGCACCGTGTCGCGCGCTCCGCGCGCGGAGGTGCAAACACGGCTCGAGCAGCTTCGCGCGCTGGGCGCGCGGAGCTGGGCAGCCGAAGCCAGTGTGCGCCGTGGGGCGCGCCCCGCTCGCGGAAGTGCAAAGGAAGGCAAGCCGTGTAGCGCGCTCCGCACGCGGATGCGTAGATACTGCAGACCGTCTGGCGCGTTCCCAGCGGGTGGGCCGGAGCCCAAAAGGGCCAGGAGAAGGGGCAAGCGGAAGGAGAAGGCAACAGAGAGCGCGCCCTTCTGGGCATGCCACCCTTCTGGCCGCGCCAGGCGGGCCTGCCTGGAGGGGCTCTGGGGCTGCCTGGAAGTTTTTGTCGCCCGGGGTTTCCTGAAGGTTTTCAAGCCCCAGGGTATGTTCCAGTATCCGCGCCCTGGCCTGCGGTCTCCCTCGGTGGGATCCTTCCTCTTCCTCCTCCTCCTCCTCCTTCCCTGCGGCCTCCGCGGAATGCATCTCTGCTCCTCCTCCTTTTCCTTCCTCCTCTTCCTCCTCGCCCTCCTCCTCCTCCTCCTCCTCCTCCTCCTCCTCCTCCTTCTCCTCGCGATTACTACGACCACCACTGCCACTAATGTCATGACCACCCTCCTCGCCCTACTCCTCGTGACCACTACTGCTTCCAGGGCCACCAAGGTACTACGGCCCCCATCCGTTCAAGGAGGACCCGCCAAAACGGGCAAAGTACACGAAACCATGTTATTTACAACGTTCCGACTCCCCCCAGGGAGGCCCCGCCAGAGCGGGCAGGGTATTCGAAAGCCATATCATTTACAAGGTCCTGTGCCCCCACCACCACCCATCCAGGGAGGCACCGCCAGAGCGGGCAGGGTATTCGACAACCACACTATGCACGAGGTTTCGCGCCCCTCCCCCCTCCAGGGAAGCCCAGCCCGGGCGGGAAGGGTACTCACGCATACTGTTTACAACGTTTCGTGCCCCCCTCCAGGGATGCCCCGCCAGAACTGGCACAATTTCGAACACCATACCATTCTCAAGGTTCCGCGCCCGGACACACCCCATCCAGGGAGGCCCCGCCAAAGCGGGCAGCACTCGCAAACCTTCTCAGAAGTTCCAAGAGCTCGCGCTTCCCCCCGCTCCCCACCCCTCCAGGGAAGCGCCGCCCCGCCAGAGCAGGCAGGGCGCTAGCACACCATGCTGTTTAGACAGTTCCGCGCCCCTCCCACCCCGCGCCCCGGCCCGGCAGCGTGGGCAGGGCGATGCAGACCATCAGATTTTACAGGGTGTCGTGCCCCCCCCCCCGCACCTCTCCACGGAGGCTCTGCAAGAGCGGGCAGGGCACCTGCAAACCGTGGTGCAAGGTCTCGCGGCCACCCCCTTCCAGGGAAGCCCCGTCAGAACGGGCAGGGTATTCGAAAACAGCGCAACTTGCAATGCGTCGTGCCCCATTCGACTCCTCCAAGTAGGCCCCGCCAAAACGGCAAGGCACTCGCAAGCCATACCATGTACAAGGTTACGTGCCCATCCACTCGCCAGAGCGGGACGGTTTCAAAACCATACTATTCACAGCGTTTTGCCTCCCTCACCCCCCCTCCCACACACACGCACACACACACAAACACAAACACAACCACAAACACAACCACACACACAAACACAAACACAAACACAAACACAAACACAAACACAAACACAAACACAAACACAACACACAAACACACACACACAAACACAAACACACACACACACACACACACTACACACCACACACCACACACCACACACCACACACCACAAACCAAACACCACACACCACACACCACACACCGCACACCGCACACCACACACCGCACACCACACACCACACACCACACACCACACAACACACAACCCACAACCCACAACCCACAACACACAACACACAACACACAACACACATCACACAACACACACCACACACACACAACACACAACACACAACACACAACACACAACACACAACACACAACACACAACACACAACACACAACACACAACACACAACACACAACACACAACACACAACACACAACACACAACACACAACCCACAACCCACAACCCACAACCCACAACCCACAACACAACACATAACACATAACACACAACACACAACACACAACACACAACACACAACACACAACACACAACACACAACACACACCACACACCACACACCATACAACACACGACACACAACACACAACACAAAACACACAGCACACAACACACAACACACAACACACAACACACAACACACACCACACACCACACACCACACAACACACAACACACAACACACACCACACACACAACACACAACACACAACACACACCACACACCACACACCACACAACACACACCACACACCACACACCACACACCACACACCACACACACACACACCTCCACAAGGAGGCCCCGACAGAGCGGGCAGGGTACTCGCAAACTGCAATTTGTACACAGTTTCGCGTCCCATTTGCCCTCCAAAGAGGCCCCAACAGAGCGGAAGCCCATACCATTTATAAGGTTTCGCGCCCCCCCCCATCCTGCGGGGAGGCTCCACCAGGGCAGGCAAGGTACCTGAAAACCATATCAGTTACCAGGTTTCGTGCCCATTCCACCCCTCTAGGGAGGCCCCGCCAGAGCAGGCAGGGTACCCGAAAACCATACTGCAAGACTCGTCATA